TCAAATTCTGTTGGTTGCAAAAACGGCGTGTTATTTACAGCTTGATGCGGACCGTGGTTGGCTCCTCGCCCCCATTTCCATGGCCGAGTACCATCGGTCTAGGTTGTTGTAGGAGCCAATCGCATTTCAGCGTGCAGAGGATGAGTTACGCGTTGAGGTCGCCATCTTGCCCTAAGTGCTTGGCACTGACCCGGTCCAATTCGATCGCGACTTCCCGTTTTGTTGATTGGACTGAATCGTGACTTTCCTCGAACCAGTCTACTTCATCCGAAGTTTTACCTATCCATACAGTTAGGTGCCAGATGCGAATTCATCTATTGCCTAAATCTAAGATGGGTGTCAAAGCCCGATGGTGCTAGTTACCGTAACTTGTGTCCTTTTACTGATGCAGAGTAACGTCAATTGGGGAATTATGTGGGATGGCATCCACGGATGGTAAGCAATCTGATGAGATATACGTTATCTCCGAAACCTTTGTGCTCACAGTTACATGATGCGCAGTCTAATTCTCTCACGCTGTGGCCGTATGTATGAGACAAGAAGTTGTGAAAAAATCGAAGGGTCGAATCGTCCAAATACACGCTTCAGGAGGCCTACATGTTGGATGTCCCTCTTAGACGCCGTTTCAGCCTGCTTCGAACATCGTAGGTCGACCTGGACAAAAGCTCCCAGATCCTTCTCTCTAGAAGATTTTTGAAGCTGATGGTTAGAGTTAGTAGGAGTGCACCAACTTGTGCCGTAGGTAAAGCACTCTACATTTGTCCAACTTGAATCTAAGTAGATTCTGGGTTGACCACGCGTATACGCTATCCAGCTCAGCTTGAAGTACTGTGATATCCTCTGGTGTTTTGATCGCCCTCCACACCTTGATGTCATCAGCATAAAAAGGCAGTTCGAGCTTATGATGCGTGTGATATCGTTAATATATGTCAAAAATAATCTCGATCCTAGTGCCAATCCCTGTGGTACTTTGCATTCAAATCGGATGGGATCAGACAGCGAATCACGCACACGTACTTCCAGGCGCCGGTGTAGAAGAAAGCTCCTAATCCATCCTAGGAGTGGATCATCAATACCAAAGGTCTGGAGTTTGAAGAGCAAAATGTTATGGTCTAACCGGTCGAGCGCCTTTGAGAAGTCAAGGAAGACTGCAACAACTGTTATGCCAGAGTCTATTACTTCAGTCCAGCTGGATCGTCTTAGTAGTAGATTTGTAGTGCACCATGGATTTAGTCAGAAGTCATGCTGTTCCGGCGCGAGGCTGTTAAATTATTCCAAGTACGCCGTTAGCGCATCAGAAATAATAACTTCCATGACCTTTGAAAGAACTGGTAGTATTATGGGACAATAGTTGGCTGGGTTGGAACGACTACCTCCCTTGTGAATAGGAGTAATCATCCCGTATTAGCAGATTTCGGGCACGTACATTTCCTCAAAACAGTGTTGTAGGAATCGAGCCAAACGCTCAGCTATACTCTCTCCTACTGCCGCTAGTGATTTTTTATGCAAATGATCAACTCCAGGAGAGCTGTGCTTGTGCATACTCAACAGCCTTTTTAGTACAGCTTCTGCTGTGCCGGATATGTGAGTGAGTTTTGGGGGTAAAACAACCATCCCCAGAGGGTTAGGTGGCCAGTGATCGCACTGAAATGTTGCAGCATAGTGTATGCGCAAGGTATGCGCAGCCTCCTTCGGTGTCCGTGTGGGTCCGTCCGCTGTTTGAAGACGAGGAATTTCCCGTTTCACTTTACGTAGACTGTTGACGTGTTAATACAGAAGCTTTTGGTTTGAGGCGTTATGTCCTGTCAGTTACTGCTGGTACGCCATTCTGTCCTCGCGAACAAGCTGAGTACAGTGGTTACGTTGGGTGCTATAGGCCATCCAGTTCTCCGTGTTTAAGGAGAGTTTGTAGATATGCCAGGCTGAGCTTCGCACTGCCATACATTTGGGTGTCCTGCTACGCAGAAACAAGACCACCTTTCTCGGGCGGAAAGTCTTAGTCTCTGACGCCTCGACAACCAGAGAGTATAACTGGCTGACGAAATGTTCCCATGCTCTTGCTGGTGCCTCATCTGTCAGAAATGTCCAGTTGGCTCTCACCTAGTCGAGCTAATATATAGTAGCGTACATACATTCTCGTTGAGTCGGTTGTTTCCACGGGATATTCTGCATAGCAAACGTATTTGAAGGGTAGTACTGTATGATCGCTGCGGCCCAATGGTACGTCGACCATCACCCACTCGACCATTAGTTCTTCATTGGTAAATATCCGATCCAGTATTTAAGGCTTATCTTTTTCTCAAAATCGGGTGGGAGTGTTTTTGTGGCCATACAGAGGGTAACTGGATACGAACTATTGTAGATCGGCCTTAAACTATTCCCTGGGAGCTGCTTGGGATTTCAGAGCGTGGATCTTGCAGTCGCCAGTAATGAGAATGCGATTAAGTTGTGTTTATCACCCTCCTTATTGCGGATGCCAGATGGGAGTCCATCTCTGGCGTGGAGGAAGGAGGACGGTAAATGATCGCCACCAAGCAATTGTCGTCACCTTTTAAACGTAGACGGTACCAAAGAGAATCTTGCACCGCGCTGAGCTCACATTGGAGGTTATTGCGGAAGTACAGAGTCACCCCTCCACCTTTGCTGGGTCGATCGTGTCGAACATTGGACAAGCGTGGCAGTGTGATCTCCATGTCAGTTATGTCAGGGCATAAGCATGTCTCCGTTATAGCGATGAGGTCGCAGGCTTTAGATCCATGACACAGCCGCATTTCGGAAAGTTTACTCAGGAATCCTTGAACGTTGGTGTACATACAGGAAAGCTTCTCTGATGTCAAATACTGTTGACATGAATAATGTGGATTTGTGCTGACCGATAAGAGGTCGGCACTTAATCGTTTTTTGGGTGAATTGCCATATATCGATAGGAATACAAGCTGTTTTTGCTTGCACTTTCACCTGCGGTATGTAGTCCATCGGCAGCCTTCTCGATATATACTGGTCTTAGCGCACAGGTTTCTGAATCTCTGTTGTGGTTATATTGAGTAGCGGATGGTGTCGTCTCTGCGAGAACAGCAAGTGGCTGCGGCTCACTAACTGGTGCCTTCATTTGTAGTTCCGTGGGAAGTGTGTTGCGTAGTAACTGACAGCTACAGATTAAATTCACGGCCATCTGTTGTGATTGCACCGTTGCTTTCAGTATCCTAGGACCAATGCCTCTGCAGTTTGGCGACACGGGTATCCGTGTAAACGACTGAAGTATGACGTCGCCTACACGGATGTAACACCATTTTTCCAGGTCCTGAGCATAGGCTTCCTCGTTGCTGGTTGCCGGTAGCTCGGGCACACTATGAAAAAACATAATTCTTCTGCTACTATCCGTGTGTTTGTCGCTTGCATTATTCTTGACCCGCTGGTGTCCGCTCCATGGGACGTCCGGAAATATGCGAATTCCACTGTTTTCAGTTCGCAGGAGGTATGCCGACAAAAGCACCGTTTTGACATCATCTATTGATCCCATTGTTACTCGCATTAGCCGGGACTTCACGTAATGATTCGAGGTTGGATATCTAGTGATGCGCATTATATTAGTCGGACTGGCTTGAACTTCAATTTGTGACAAAAGAAAGTCTATTGCTTTAAATCATCTAACTGTTTACCCCTTAAGGAGTTTGCCTTGGACTCAGGAACGTTGGTGCAAGGCCCCGTAGTTCCTCCTAGTCTCCGGTGACGTGGGAATCACTGTTAGCGATGAATTTAGTGACATCTGTGCAGGTTGCACCTGATCCTTGACTCGTTTTGCGGTTGTATTGGGTGCGGATACTGAGGTCGCACTTCGATGTATAATCGAAGTAACGGTTGCATAGGTGGATTGGTCTTTAGAGCGCTTCCGATTTCGTTGGTCAATCGGAAGGGTGGGTGTTACTGATGTTGCATCAGTCGATACATTGGATAAGAGGATATGGGTGATGGGGCTAGGCATGTTTCTATCGGTCGCGATGACAACTTGGTTCGTGGTTGCCAAGGTTTCTGGTACTGCGCGGCCGTTTGAACGCTTGGCCCTTTGCCTTGGTTTCGAGACAGTAATGGAGAGAGACGGATGAGGTACAACGTGCGCTGTTTTCGCTTCGAGAAAAGCAATTCTTGCATTCAAATTATGCTTAGTTTCGATGCCTAGGCAGTCGTACTTGGTGTTAAGACTAGTACGCATTTTACTAGTGGAATCCTTATGCACTTCGGACAGAACGAAAAGTGAACCCGATGTATTGTACTACTTCAATTCCTTTCTACGGACTTTGACGCATTTCGAATGGTACAGGTTTTAGCAATTTGTACAAGTCAACCCTCCTTTTAATACCTTAGCACAAGTTTGCTTGGCACAAAATACATCCTTTCGGGTAGGCACCTTCGCCGTTTGATTAGCACGCGATAGGAACATCTGCTGTTTTGCACCCCCTGTTTGCACAGTCTTAGATAAAGCTGAGGGAATTTCAGCAGCGGGTGGTGTTTCCAGCTCAGGCGCTTGCATCTTGAGCATTTTCTCACTTACCTAGAAACAGCCTCTCTTGTTAGTAGAACTTAGTGAAACAAAGCCTTACTTCGATTAGACCACAAATACAGATGCGCGAAGGACGGCGAACCTGCAAAATAAGCAAGTGTTTGGGTAATTTCTCACTTTGCTCACGTGATTTATACTGTGACTAATCATGATCTTCACAATAGCTACAACCGCAAGTGCTTGAATTATATGTATTCATGCAGTACTCAAGGAAGGCCTGTTTCCTCAGTCGCCATGACCAACGTTTGTTTCAAACTAATCGGTTGCGTGGTGCAATGTACACTCTTATGGCCTATTCTGTCCAATTGTGCACACCTGTGGGGTTTCGAGCAGCCATATATCAGTCAGCTTTTGCAATCTGTCTCTCTGACGATATCAGTCACTCCGTTCATTGTGTGCAGCGTCGTATCTCATGCATTGCATTGAGTGACGGGAGCGTCCAATGGGAATGAACAAGTGGATCAAAGGAGATCCAAGCAAGCAAGTGAAGGTGAGCCTGGTATAATCTATAAGATAAAGGAGTTCCGTTTCAGTCATGAAAAGCCTGTACAGCAACCGAGTTCTTTTTTCGTGCTTCATCAGGCTGCACACGATACATTTATACAGTTAAGCTAAGAAAGAGTGGACAAGGCAACTGGAAATGCGGGGCACCAAAAGCATCATGGGGTGTGATCTCTTCCCGCGGAATCAGCATAGAAAATGCTGGTCACGGTTGAACAAGGATTTAACGGACGAACACGCATTCTACGTCCAATGAACGAATCCGTCAGGTTCGTCTTCTCTTGACTGCCTGTGTTTATTCGCTCTGAGCGCTCCTATCAAGCTGCTTGCAATGAGAGGATTGACTGACCTCGTAGGAGATAAGTTACGTAAAGGTAATGGATAAATGAGTTTTCGACTACTTCCGCGATCACAAAAGGCGGTATATTACAGCCGGCTTCACTGCCTCCTTTACTGTACTTGTATATTTAACCAGATCCGTTACCACCAAATTTTATTGGCCAGAGGTACGCTGACGACCATGTCTTTGGCGGTGTAACTCTCTACCTTGGGACAACCCAGACATCTCAAAAGGGCTTAGATGAGCTCATGAAGTGTTCGCTGTGCCTTTTCTGCCCCCCCCCTATCGCTTTGGAAGTATATGAGGCCATAATTTCATTTTCTGCCTGATAAACCATCCTTTTATTCGTCTCCGACGCTCACCCACACGTGACCTGTGTGGCTTAAACTAACGATTAATTTTAATTGTTTCACTTCTATGTAAGTTTGTGAAGGTTTGAATTGTTCACAAATGGTCTCGTATTCTTTAACTTGGGCCCCTGGTAAAGCAGCTCCTAAATCTTAGTATAATAAATGAGTGGCTGATAAAATATAACAACTTGTTTAGTTTGTCTCAAAACAGACATATTTTCATAGTGTAAAATAACAAGCAGTCAATATAGTTATGAATGATTGTGGGAGATTCATATGCTAGACGAAGTAGCCTGTTTCATTGAAACAACTGTGAATCGATGGTTCAGTCAGTCAGACGATACACAGAAACTTTAGCCCGCATTCAGGAGTTCTCGGGAACGAATTGCAAGCCCCCAATGTCTGCCTATGATTAAATCTGACTGCGTGCGAAATTAGGATACTTAGAGGAATTACGCTTTTCTGTCAGGTTGGCAGATACTTGCTGCTTACCGACTAACCCGTTGCTTGATGTGACGGCGAATTTATGCTCGGCGTTACAGTTTCTGTATTCGGTTGACCGTCCTGGAGTACTCCTTACAAATTCTGCTAAATACAGAGAAATGGTCAGGACGATGTTGGTTGTGGAATACTGTGTTCAAACAGAACACCTCAATCGAAACCAAGCATCGATTGTGGATCTAGTAGAAAACTCGGTTATTCAACGAGGAAAAACATTTTCAGCAAAGGCAAATAAACGTAATCAACAACACGTTTGACTCATCAGAGATCTGGATAACTACTACTGGTCAGACTATGCCGACAATGACGTTCTTGTGCCATTATGGCCCGTTCCTTCATCCAATTAAGCAGACGATAGGACGCTTGTTGTAGCGCAATCGACCGTCAGCCAAGCAGCAAGTTCGTATAACAAATGGCAACGGCTGCCGCGTTCAGAAGTCAAAACTATCCGGGTCATCTCCCATTGCATCTGGTGCCTTCCTAGGGCCCTTCTGTTCCGCTCTACCAAGGGCTCGATGGCAGATGAGACTATAATTTATGGCTTTCAGCAAAACCGCGACTGCAACACCAGCGTCTATGCGATAAGCTAATCGCGGAAGAAAAGTTTGGGCGCTACGACCTTTTATCCGTACTTGCTACATGAACTAGATGCTAAAGATGCGGTTACAGGGAAGCTGAATGAGCGGCTATGAGTAGCAATGAATATGGCAAGACTAGCATCCTATTCAGTGACGTCAACGAAGTTAGACGGTATGATTAAGCAAAGGGGGTAATCACGTTAAAGTATGGCAAGCTTCGTCATTAAGAAATGCTCTGTCAGCAGCCCGTGATGGGTGATGTCACTGAAAGCTGTTCAACGCTGAGTGCTTGTATTATATTTCCGTCTTGCAAGTAACTGTAAAGTCTAAATACTTAGACCTATTCCAATGACAATGACAACTACCTAGCCTAAACCTTCTCGTTAGATGGTGAAAGCACATTCCTTACAGAGAGAATGAATCAATATATTTAACGTCTAAGATTCACTAGGGCTTATCGATGACTGCGATAAAATTGGCTTATCCGATTAACTCGTGTCTTCTTCTGATGTGAAATCTTATTTTATCAACCCTCCGCTATGCAGGATTGCTGGCTACTTCTCGGAATCAGTATCAACTTCTGCGTACGCGTTGCCAATGCTAGCTGAATTATTAAGAGAATTCTGCTGGTTACACAATGGGAATATCGACCTCACTTCGGCAGGACACCGTGTCGCTAAATCGATGTTGCAACATTAGAAAGCTCAGTGGAGAAGCTTAGCCAAATGATAAAAGTTGGTGTCCATTGGGGTTACGCGCAACATACAAGGTGTGTCAGAAACGTTCGTCGGACTGGCGTCACACAAAAGTTATTTCAAAACCCAGACTTTACCCTAAGTGTTCACCTTCAACGCAATTCCCCTGGAGCCTATGCGCTTCCCTGCCCTTCTCTGCCACGCTTGCATGCACTAATGCCGGATTGTTTTGGGATCCATCACAGTTCCGTTGTCACGGTCTTATGAATCACCACCGGAGATGAATCATTGATCTTCCAGAAAGACATGGAGATCAAAAGCCAGAGCCTTCAGTGGAAGGGTCCGATGTCGCCAAGACCGAAGGAAGCAAGATAGTCGAAGTCCGAAGTTATGTTGTCCACATTCTTTGATATGAGGGGTATCACATACTGCGAGTTCTTTTCATAAGGCCAGCAGACGAAAGTAGTAAGTCAGGCGATGAATAAATTGTACTGCTTACGTTGCTCCTTGGTATAAACCGGATTAAAGCGGTACTTTGCCTTTGAACACAACTATCGGTCATCCTTAGGTTACTCCGGACTTTGGGGTTAGACTACTAATTTTGGTCTGGATATTATACATTGACGCGCGTATTAACGACTGTATACAACCCAACATTATTGTTGACGGCCCTGCTAAAAAGATACGAAGAAATCGAATTCACCAAACCTCATCTCCTCTTTTTTTAAAATTAGCACGTCAGATAGAAGCCTGGCGGTTTTGGCCGCCCTTCAAGTCACCACGGAAACCTGGTCTTGTGCATAGATCAGGGCTGTCATTCAGACTACTGGGCTGAATACCCACTTGTTACCAGATCATTACCGGTGGAGTGTTTTCATCGTCCGATTAACTTGATTATGTGAATATAGTTCGTGTTAAAAATTGCCGCAATGCGACTGCATTCTGACAGGTGATTTAGACCGATACATCCTAAAGTTAAGTTCTATTATTGCCGTTTCAAACAAATTAAACCTTCTATGCCAGCCTCTAATCGCCAGTACACTTTGTAAGCACGGTTTATCCCTACCTTTTAAAGGTGCAGTTATCACCAACACCCCTCCAGTTACAATTCTGTTTTATACGCGCTAGTAAGACCAGTTCAGGATTTTGTGAAAGGATATCTGTTATCTCCGAACTATGTGCTTGGCAAAACCTTGAGAGCAGTAGATTGGATTTAGCTGGTTACTTAGGGATTAAAACAGAGCCTGGCAAACAGTTAATATTCTCAATTATTTATACGTCGGTAGACGAACGAAGCCTTTGTCAGTCCAAACAGGCGAGTGAGTAGTCACTGTTGAGGTGAATTCACGTGTCCATGCAGACCAGTGCGCTAATCCATAACTCATGATACCGACCCATTCTATACCATGGCGTGGTGACAACATTATGCTGCAGTTTTAGTTGCCGCGATGCCAAGTAAAGGACTCACTCCGAGTTGCCTGAGCGATTTACAAAGCAGTTGCTACACCGTGTGGTCATATCTTTTCAGACAGGTGATCACGGAAGATGCCGAACACACTGGTGTACCTCTCAGGGTTTTCCTGGCTATTATGTTCCCCACAAGTGGAAGCTGCACGGCCACCTAACATTGTGACCTACCACTCTGGAGGAAATCGCTGGGGTGGTCCAACGCGCACCTTCAATTCAAGCCATTTATGATGACATCCCAAGGACAACTTGCACCTCGTGTGGTCCACACAATTGCGATTTGTTTGTGCCATTTGAATAGTCAGCGTGTTTCGCTCAGACCACACACGCACACCCATTTTCACCAGTTCTTCAACGGTACAAGTGAGCCCTGGGGTGTGAAGGCGTTCCGGTTGCTATGGCCAACTAGTGTAGCTTCCATATCATCGTCGTCCACAGATTTTATGTAGAGGCAACTGGCGTGGGGAAAATGAACTCAAAATATTCACCTTGTCCCGTCATCCGGCGTTGCCATGCTGTCTGCACACACTTTTTCTTCCAATCGATGAAGGCGAAATTTTTTCTGGAATTGTTGGTAAATGACAACCGGTAATGTAGACCATCGGAAGATGACAGAGGAGGACTTTTGTCTTTGCCTCTGCGTTGCTCAGTTCGTTCCCTAAACGTTGGTTTGGTTGATGTGTCCAGGTGTGCCACGCTTACGCACAGTTGACGAGAGCTGGATGGGTCCACTGCCGCAACCTGATACTGACCAGGGCGTGCCGGACACAGGTTCACTGCGGATGAGTCATCTTGAACACGATATCACGTGGTCACCACTTGCCCGCTTAGTGAGAATTGTTGAGTAACTCCACTGTCGCAGATCTTTGTAGCGAAGGAGAAGGTATGCAACGTTCGCTCATCTGTACATACTAGATTCAACGTTTATAGAGTCGAAAATGAAACAACATTATTGTAAATTACCTCGAAAAACTGCACAAAACGCTGGATCGTTTGTGTAGAATTGTCTTATATACGTTAATCGATCAGAGGAGTTGTCTATGTCTTTACTCGTGTAC